ACCTATTGAAAGTGAGATGTACCCTGTGGTGACCATGAGGCTGTGGAAGGAAAATTCTTTATTTTCTTTCAGATTCGACCTCAGTGGTTTTGTTCTTCACATTCTGACTGTTAGCAAACTGGGTCACGCATGTAGAAAGAATATGTCTGACAGCAGTAACCACTGTCAGGAAAGTGTGGCCTCCTCAGAAAACACAGGTTTGTTTCTGTCGTCGAGAATTATGCATATGATTCTTCACACATCAAAGTGACACTTTTCGTATGAACTTACATCCTGTTATTCACAATGTAGACACGACCCATTCCTCTGAAAACAGCACGCTTTGCATTTAGCACAAAGCACTAATATCACATGTACGGTGACTAAACATGTGGTGCAGAAAGCCCACGCACCATCATTACTGACCAATTTAGAATAATAATTAATAATGACCTTTGCACACATGTCTTTTGTTACAATACTACATTATGTCTTCATGTTTTTCTTGATGGGAGTTAATTACCCGGCCGTGTCACTTACTAATATATTACACAATATTGTAGGACATGTTACTGGCATAAGTTTAGTATACAACTTTGCTATATGCAAAACCTATGACACAAACTTTCCTACAGATGGCGACACAGGCCAGTTTGTTGCAGTGGATAAAAGGCATTTATTCAATACATTAATGATGTCATGCCCCTGCAGGCAAATGGAAAAATCGACTTAACACGCTGTTTGGTTAGGTACCACTCTAATAGAGTCAATAGTGGAATCATCACATGAATGGATAGGGAGTAATTCACATTTTGAAAGATTAAGAGATAACCCTGATGCTTTTGAAAAATTTGAAATTGTGTTAAGAGTTTCCTTTACCATGGATTTATTCTTTAGGAAAATGGATGTGTCATCCGCAAATTGACTAATTTTGAACTCTTTGTCAAAGAGGGTAATGCCTAATATTTTGTGATTCTTTATAATAAGCGTTGTTAATACTTGGGTGGTCAGAATAAATAATTTTGGGGAAATAGGGCAACCCTGTCGAATACCACGTAAAACCTTAAACCTAGGGTTAAAAGATACAGAACTATAAATGTCCGAGTAGAGCATCCTAATTATGTTGCAGAAATGTTCACCAAAACCCAGAAATGTCAGAGTTTCCATTAAAAAGGAATGTTCAACAGTATCAAAAGCCTTGTAAAAATCCAGAAATAGTACGAGACCTTCAGTATCAATAAACTCCTGGTAATCAAGCATATCCAATATCAGTCTGGTATGGTTATGAATACTTCTGCCCTTTATAAAGGCTGATTGACATTCATCTATTAGTTGATTCAGACCCGAGTTTAACCTGTTAGCATAAACATGTGCTAAAAGTTTGTAATCATTACATAACAGGGTAATAGGTCTCCAATTATCCAACAAAAGATTATTTTTATTTGGTTTTGGAATTAAGGTAATAAGGCCATGTTTCATGGTTGGCGAAAGGTTTCCTGCTGAAATGCAATCTGTGAACGCCTTATAAAGCATTTCTCGCACATCTGACCAAAAACATTTATAAAACTCTATGGTTAAACCATCCAGCCCTGGTGATTTGCCACCAGACATTTGCAGTAATGCACTATCTAATTCTTCAATTTTTAGTCCATCGTCCATATACTGTTTAAAAGAATAATCTATTGTCTTTTTGAATTCTGTAATTTTACTAAAAAAGTTATCACAATTTTCTTTAGAAAACTTTGAGTTATATAAATTGCTATAAAAAAGTCTAATTTCTTCATTTATCTGGTCTTGATTTTCAATAGTGACATCATTAATAATCAGTTTTTGGATTTTCTTTTTCACTTGTCTTTGCTTTTCAAGATTGAAGAAATAAGAAGTGTTTTTCTCTCCTTGCTCAATTCATCGGGCTCTCGAACGAATAAAAGCTCCCTTTGCTTTTTCCAAATACATGTTGTCTAATTGAATTTGTAAATTGTTCAGTTGAATTTGCTCATCCAATGATAACTCAGCTTTAAGGCATAAATTATTAATTGCACTTGTCATCTCTTGTTGTTTTTGTTTCTTTAATCAAGAAGAGTATTTACAGGATTTTATCGCAATCTGTCTCACACTAAATTTAAACCATTCCCATTTACTGAGAGATGACATATCCAAAGCCAGAGTTTCTTTTATCAGTTGTTTGATCTCTCTACAAAAATCTGCATTCTCCAAAAGACTATTATTGAATTTCCATATAGGTTTAAGATTGGGACTGAAGTTGCATAGTAAAAAGGACAAAGAGATGACAGTGATCCGTCAGAGGTGATGCTGAAATGTCACACTTTGAGACATTATTATAAACTAGTAGAGATTAACCAATAATCGAGCCTAGAGCACTGACCATTGTTAGAAGAGTTAAACCAGGTATATTGTGACTTTGAGGGATTATTTATTCTCCAAACATCAGTTAAATTAAGTTTAGAGGCCAAGTGAATAATAGAATCATTAAATTAACCACTCATCAGGAACTACATTATCAGACGTTACGCATCGAACTGATGTTCACAATCATGTTTATTTCATAATATTCATCATATTTTATGTTTAACTTGCCTCAACAACATTAAACAAAGTTCAAGCATACATGAAGCACTCTTCAAAAAGGAACAATCCTCCATGTTTGAACCTCTTAAATCGCTGCATAGCCGATTTATTTGGACTGGATTATCCCAGAGAGGCTAAACATTCTTTATAACACAGTTTCAGATTTGTGAAACCTTTAATTCTATTTGTGAAAATACAAAAAAGAGAGATTTTAGTGCTTTTTCGCATCCTGGCCACATTAGACCAGGTCCTGATCTAAAACCACTATACCTAGACTCATCAAATCTGGACTGGATTATCCCAGAGAGGCTAAACATTCTTTATAACACGTGACTTGGGCACGTGGGCACGTGGGGCGAAGTCCCAATACCAATACCCATAAATAATCCTTACAACTGTGGATAAACCATGGATGTATAAAGATAAGGGCTAAACAGTAAAGCTCCTGCATTCGAATCAGCGCGGTTAGCCAGGCGTTAGTATAGCCCTCTGCCAGAAATGATCACACACTCCTGTAACCAATCCTGCTTCAGACTGAGGTTAGGACCGCCCACCTCATTAGCATACGGACACATAAATAAATAAATAAATGTATGTCGAGTAAATGTAGAAATATATGAAAGATATATAATAACGTGCAGTGTTTAAAAAAAAAAATTGAATTTCTTTTTTTTATCGATAACGGCTTGAGGTTAAAAAATAATAATAAACGAATTTGAAACTGGGGGGGGGGACACAAACGGGCAGACAGCAGAGCTCGGGGCAATAATGCAGATTTGTTTGACTTTTTTACACTTTGTTGTTCTCCTCCTTTCCTCCGCTCGTGTCTCAGAAACAGAGCGGAGGGAGAATGAGAATACGCAAAGCAGTGGACACTGAAACATGCACATACATTGGATAAATAACATAGGCGTTTAGTTTATTTAATAAAAGAGCACATGTTCAATGTGAAAAGTGACCGTAGATAGATTACTTCAGTTGCAATTTGGTGCTATATATATATATATATCTTTTAATTAAAAAAAAGATTACATTTAAAAAAAAAAATTAAAAAACAAAATAAAACACCTTGAATTTCAGGCGGGGCGCGGGGCTCCGTTGGCAGGGCGCAGCGCCCCGCCAAGACAATGGTAGGGGAAACACTGACGTGTGTTCTGTTTTCTTTATTTATACATTGGTGTATTTATTTCCATATTTATTTATGCATTTATTGATTCTTTTATTTATTTATTTGTGTATTTATTTCAACATTTATTTATTTCTGTATTTATTTAGTCATTTATTTATCCCTGTATTTATTTATTTACGTTTTTATTTATTTATTCCTGTATTTCTTCATACATTTATTTACACATTTATGTATTTATACTTAAGTCATGTTCCGTCCTCCATAATCCTCACCTCCAAGGTCTCCAAGGTTAGATTTCTGACAGAAGCACTCAGTCATTAGCGGTCTTTCACTTGTTGCCTGGAAATGGAAACTTTGACATTGTTGGATGTTGAACAGTAGTAGATCTTTACCCGTACACAGAAGTGACTTTGTGGCAAGATAAAAGAAATGTCCCTCTGTAATTGAGTCCATCCATATGTATTTGGCCCATACGTAATTGAGTTTACTCTTGATTTACAACTCTATTGAAGTGTTGTTGTAAAAGCCCCAACTTTCTTTCCCTTTTAAAGTCATCACTGGGATATGTATATTTACCAAATAACCTCCTTTGTGCCACGACAAGTCCATGCATGTCCATGCATTGCGCACGTGTTAACCATGATCATTATTTGAGGCACATTTTTAAAGGATTATTGGAGCAGATTCTTTTTTTTGAGGGACATTGCAATTTAAAATGTTAGAAAATGACAAAACGAAATCCAGCACTATGCTCGACTGTATCAAGAGGCCGGTTTTGCTTTTTGTAAACCACTCAGCAACTGAATATCAGGGGTGGGTTGTACAAATTGAACATACCATGGCAGAATGTGTGTCCATTTCCCGACTTGTCGCAGCACTGTATTTGTACTAACCCGTCCTTTTTCAGTCGATGCCTCCTTGTGTATAGTGTAGAAATTCTAAAAAGGAACGTGTATATTCTGCATGTAAAAACAGTGCTCTGTTCAAGTTCTCCTTGTCAACTGACAAAGTATTGCACAATTTGTGAGGAAAGAAAAATCAATTTGAATGTTTCAGGTTAAAAAAGCCCATTAAATCCAGTTTGTTTATATTTCATTACCAACAAAGGGGAAGGAGTGTGTCTCCAACTGTAAAGACCAGGGATTACATCAGATTTATAGAAGGATATTAACAGACTAGTTTATGTATTGTAGTCGTGTGTTTTATGCTTAAAAATATCGTTTCTTGAACTATAAAAAAGGCACTTACTGAAATGTACAATTTTAAAGAAAAAAAAAAAAGGAATATATTTTCTAATTTCTCCTTTTCCATAAAGTACTCAGTTTGGTCTTTTACATCTGAAAATATAACAGCAACGGACGGGTTTCACAAAGCGGAAAAAACTTTATTGTCATGAAACTGGTCAAATAAAACTGCAACACCACATGTGAAAGTTTGAGAATAAAAGAACAAACTGAAACAAAAATAAGATGTGGCAGTGAGATTCTTCTGGATTACTTCATCATGTTTTAGTCTGTTTTAATCGTCCATCAACTATTTTTTTATTGATCGCAACCGTGTTATCCTCTGATCCCAGTTCTTTCTCCTGGGGAAGAAAAACCTGTTAGAATTTGTTTTAAACACCATGATTTGTCAGATTGTGAGCACCATTGTTCATTTTTGTGTAATTTCACAAACCTGCCTGAGTTCACTCGCCGCAATCTCAAGTCTCTCCTTCAAATTGTCTTCACGTGTCACATCAGAAAGCACGGACCACTTCCTGTCTGTGAAAATGACCGGGACTGAGAGGACGATGCCATCTGGGAGATTATAGTCACCTACAAGCATCCAAAGAAGATTAGTTCAAACACAAGATAGATCAGCCAAAATCAATGTCTGAGATGATTGTATCCTCACCTGGGCAAAGCACTCCCAAAGAGAAGATCTCATCTGGACCACAAATGCCATTCCACGCCTTTAGGACCTCAAGGATCCCATTAGCGAGCGACATGGGAGCAGCACGGCAGGTCTTTGAAGCCACAGCTGCACGCTGACAACGCACCAACTCCTGTAAATCTGTTTCCAACCATTTCCTGGAAGAGAGAAGGAGATTATTCACTTTTTTGGGGACGTTTCAACTGTACATTTCACCCATTGAACTGAATCCCCAGCAGGGTACGGTTTGGTTGGCAGTTTTGCCATTTCATATCATTTATTTTTATTATGACAAACCTTTCTTGGAGGATGTTTTTGGCTGGTTGGGAAAAGTAAGCTGGTCCTTTGATTGGCCCATCATAGTTGAAAACCTTTGCTCTCTGGAGGTCAATATAGAAACTGCCGCTGATGTTTCCCCACACAATGACGTGTGTGACATCTACAGCAGAAGGGAGGGATCATTCATCTTGCTTAAGAAGGTGATGTATTTAAAAGACCTATTAGGTACAAAGGGAGAATTTCCTACCTGACGTCCTCACTTTCAGCTTCCTTGCGATGATGGCCCTCGCTTCATTCTCCAGCTGAGTTGCCACGGTGACAAATTGGTTGCTGTCAATCAAGTTTACGTTGTCCAAAAGTAGTGAGCATCTCAGGTTGACAAAGGAGTCCCCAGACACGATGACCTTTACCTCCCTGTTGGCCCGTGTGTCAATCAGCTGTCCATACTCTCTGTATCTGTCTGAGATTCTCTTCACCTTCTTCTTCATTTCCTCCTCATCTTCTGTATCACTGTCATCAGACCAACACTCATCCTGAAGTAGAATGACATCAGCTTCTTTAAAGGCCTGTTCCAGATCTGTGTGAATGGTCACCTGTGAATGAATACAGTTAGATGGCTTTGTTTTCCTTCTGATTAGGTTTAAAAATAGTCTCCAAAAAGAAGCATACTTGATATAGCAGAGGGAGTGCCAGGTTCTCCGTCTCCATCCTAAGCCACTGAAGTTGCTCCTCTTTCCCCTCCAGGTTTAAAAGGTGGAGGCTGATAGCAGAAGTGTTGGGGAACACCTCAGCAGAGAGCAGATTGGGGATCAGGAAGTGGCCGGTTGGGCTGAGAGCGCTGGAAATACCCAATCTGTCAGCTGACAATTAAAAAAAATATCAACATTTGTATTTTATTTTCAAACCAACCCACCTGCTGAGCCATATATGAAGGGGTTTAATAAGACTGACACGATGTTGCTCCTCTACGATTGAGTTCATCTTGGTTTCCAGATTCTCTGATGCAACACTCAGCATGATATCTGTAGGCATATCTGATGTGACGCTGTAATAGTCCTGCACAACAAGGGATGACAACAATAACATGTGGCAGACCTAAACCTATAATCCAAGCCATTTGTTATATTTCTCACAGTTTAAAGAACATATAAGGAAGTCATTCATGGGGACAGAAATGATGCAGCATAACAGGATTTACTGTAGGTTTAGACGGGATTTTGAAGGGTTATATACCTGACAATGCTCTAGGAAGTCACTAAACCCCCCTAAAAGCATCGCTTTCCCCCCTTGGTCCACCAGCTCCCTCCAAACCAAAGGGGACTGCTCGTGTTTCCAGCCATTTCTTGTGCAGGTGTCCTCGAGCCATTCCTATCGAGAGACAAGTGAGAGGAAACAGGATAAATATACTGATGATTTGTAAGTCAAAGAGACTTAATATAGTTTAAAATAAGCAATATTACCTTCCATGCATGTGGAAGGACTGAGATCTTGTGGATCCTGAAGTTTGGCAGACATCTCTGCAGACTGTCTGCTAATAGTTCCGCTTTGGCGTAATGTGGGCAGTCAGTTTTGCCTGAAGAGATAACAAGTGTAGCAGTTATATGTTTTATATTCTACATTAACACGTTAAAAGAAAATGAGTTAGATCACACTTTACCAGCGAGCACAAATTTAGCCATTGCATCCCGGATGGCGTCGGTTGCTAGGAAACTGTGGGTGTAGCGCTTATTTGAGTCCGTGTAGGAAGCGCTGCAAACAAACATAAAACCAGGGCCTGTTATTGTGATGAATATGAGGCCTATCATTAAACATGTACACCATGTGGTGGTATAAAGCGTGATAAATATTGTGCTTGACACGTTGTATATTTACAATGACCATTTTTTACTATATTGTGACAGTTCGTGCTGAACCGGGTTAACAGGGGGACTTAATATGGCAGCGCACACAGCAGCGCATGGGAGTGCTTGCAAACATTAGTATCGTTTTAGTGTAATGTAGCCCTGTGTCCCTTAGTTTAACACATTTCAAACTCAAACATGTTTTAGCAAGAGCCGTGTGTTTCTTTGTGACAGTTACTTGTGTGTTGGAGTAATAAGGTATGGTGCGTCACTTTGCTAACATTAGATAATGTGAGCTAGCCAGTGTTTTTGGAGGAGCCAGTCCGTTGACCTTGTGTTTATCTTCAGTCATAGTACTTTGTAATACTTAATTTTTACTAATTACTTATTTGAGGTAACCGTCTATGTGGCCAATAATGTAAATAAAGTGTTGACTGAAGATCATTTGGAAATAAATGCCATACTTTTTACATTTTACTCAAATTGCTAGCTACATTTGCAGGGAAATAGAATGTTATATGCAAAAATTCATTCATAGCATTCTATTTTCCTGCAAACTACTGCTTTATTTATCTTATTGCTATTTAACTATTTTATTACGGTGTAAAAAAGATTTTGTGTTTTATATTAGATTTCTTGTTTTTTATATTTTATGTATGCACCATGACATCAAGTCAAATTCCTAGTATGTGTGAACCTACCTGGCAATAAACCTGATTCTGATTCTGATTCTGATTCTAAAATACCTGATTGAGATTTTTCCTTCACATAGGGGCAGTGCGTAAATTAAGGACGCAAGGACTCTTTCTATCTCGTCCCCTAAGTCATTACAGTACAATGTCTGTCTGGGTGACAAAAGAGGTAATGAGATGGGGATGCCTTTGCAGCCGCAGGTCTCTATGGCAACAGAGCAATCTAATGGGGAAGAAATCACCCAAATACACATCTTTCCCCAGTCAGCAGTTAGCACACATATGGGGCACAAAGCACCATCAGACATGCCTGGAAAGCAACCGTGTGAGTTCAGTGAGGTTCTACTCAAAGGGGACGATTCACAGTGAGGTCCTGGAAGAGAAGGAGCCTCTTTCCTCTCCCCTGGCAAAGTCTTCGCTGCCCGATGAGAACCAATCTGAAGAGACAGCCCCAAAGGCGATACAACGGACTTCACCTTTAATGGACCGCCTGAAAAGCTGTGGCTCCCAGTCAGACGTGTTGGAGCTCACCTCCAAATATGCACCCACGTTTAAGCAGATCAGCTTGTGCCTGACCCACATCTGGTTAATTACTAAGACGATGTCGCCTGATAAGCGGCGCTACGAGCTGCAGCTCATGTTTGAGCATCCTGGTTTTGACGTGCTGCTGCAACAAGTCATGACGAGTGTGGGGCAAATGAGCAATAAAGACGTAGCTTATTCTCTCCTGAATATGGTCAATCTTGGGGTTCCTCAGGACAGCCGTGTGATCCAGACTTTTCTCCGATACTGCCAGGTAGTTGGCGAAAGATTGACCATCAAGGAAATGTAATTTTCCATTTGGAAATGTTTTTGTTTTTAACCCAAGTTAATGTTATTGTCCACTAACAGGAGAATCTGGATGACTTTGATGAGAAGTGCTTGTCCATCTTGGCCTCCTGTCTGCGAAACATGGAGCACAGCAACAACACTGACGCACTGAAGGATGGCGTGAGGTCAGGATTGTGTTGTTGTTTGGAAGACCCCTTGAAATATTTACATGACAACTTTTTTTTCAGATTCTGAAACATTTTCGTTTTTTTGTGGCTGTGTCCTAGGATGGTGGTTGAGGCCCGTCTTCCCGGCATCAAGAACGTAAAGGCTCTGCCGAATATAATGCGTATGTTGGGCAAAGACACCCCAATGGACCTCAAACGGAAATTCGAGGTTGGTTTATGAGTCCTGGTTTTAACCATATTTACCCTGATTTATTTGATTCTAAATTTCTCAAAGTTTATAATTGTGCAGAGATGTCCCTGACTGCTCATGACATTATCTAATAACAGCTATCTCATTGAAATATCATAGTATTTATAAACTACAGGGCATGACCAAGAAATGTCTTGTATTTCACTGTCTATGCAACTGAATCCATTCCCCATTGACTCATTCTGTCCCCTGCTTCCTCCAGGCGAAGGCCTTATCAATGTCAAACCACTTCAGCCTTCTAGACTCCCAGCAGATGATCATCGCAATGGCCGCAATTAATTTATACTCCAAACCACTGCTTGACATCTGCAGTAAGATTATTCAAGGTAAACACGGCTCTGAATTCTAGTCTATAAATGAAATCAGAAGTATTTTCTCATTGTTTGATTAACCTGCTAATCCCTCCTTTGGTAGAAAACATCAATGGGATCCCCTTCAACCAACTGTTTAAAACCATGCATTCGTACAGGCAGCTGGAATACAGAGACTTGGAGCTGCTCACTAACTTTTCAGAACACGCCGCCTCTATGATCGACATATGGACCAAAAAACAGGTGTTGCAACAGAACCCTCGTAAAATGTATAATCTCAATAATACAAACGGCTAAGCAAGAATCTATTTAAGTGTTTTTAAAAATGATCTAAAAGTGTCTCCCTGTCTGTTCAGGTGGTCTTCTTCCTGTCTGTGTGTGAGAAGCTCACCTTCTGTCCTGCCGCAGTAATGGAGGCATTCGCTGGAAAAGTGATAGAAAATCCCAAAGCTCTGACACTGCAAGACCTGCTCTGTGTGGTCAAGGTTTACTCCAATCTCAACTACGATCTGCAGCACAGGAGTCAGCAGTAGGTCACTCACATGGCTTCAAATGATACTCATACACAGGCCCTACAATTCATATTTAGCAGTAGATATTGCAACTTGCTCTTTTTTTAGTTAGGATTTCTGTAACCTTTTTTTATTAAATAAATATGATTTATTTACAATTTCTTTGTGAGCATGGAGTGTATTGCTTGGGGGTAAATTATCATCTACAAAGATAACCTGACTCATACTGTATCATATTGGCAGGTTTTTGTATAAAATCTGGTTTAAAACATTTTTTAATGCATAATTTAAATGACAATTGGTTTCCTTTTTGCTGTGGCAGGTTCCTGGATAGTCTGATCCCGGCTCTGGTCTCCTATCTGCCCAATATGTCCAGCTATGAGTTGTTGAAGTTGGTCTATCATCTGTGTCTACTGGGCCACTTCCCCTCTGCACTCCTGGAGCCCCTCCTGCAGAGCAGCACACTGGAGAAGCTTACATCCACAAGTAAGACAAACAAATTCTTATTTTTTTTTATTCCCCCCACACTTGGATCTTTTGGAGTTCATTTATCTGATTCTTTTTCTCCTCAGATCCCATTTACCTCGCCAACCAGGAGAGGATGTTTCAGACGGTGAACTTGTGCCTCCATCTTGAGCATCCTGTGCTCCCTCAGCCCCTGACGGTGCCCCCCACTCTCCTGGGAGCCCCCGTCCTGGACAGTGGAGCTGTGACCCCGGAGCTCTCGCAGTGCCTGCAGAGTGTGATGGAGGACCAGGCGAACACCACTCTGCAGGAGAGGGTGTTGCTGTTGGGCTTCTACTTCATAGGTAAACACTATCTGGAATACTTCTTTATTTGTCCTTTCTACCGCCTTCACCTCCCTCCACTTGCTAAGATAACTGAAGTATTTCGCTTGTGACTCGTAGATGGAGTGATCACCAAACCTCTGCCGTCTGAGACTGATAGCGGCGGTGCAGAGAGCAGACAGAGGTAAGATCAGTCTGCAGGAGATGACATCAGCTGACTCTTTAACACATATGTGTTGGTATTTTGTTTTGGATTTATCGTGATTATGTGAGTTTGTCGTAACAAAAGGTGGAGAGGATGTTCAGCCGCTCTTTTTGTTGAGTCAGTCGGGCAAATCTGATTCCACAACCTTTTTTTACAGATGCTTTAATATCATTTTGAACTCATTTCAAGATTTGAAATAGGATATTCAGGCACAACCTTTTGTCACTTGCTTTCACTGAGGAACACAGGCTGGTAACAATTTAAGACTTGGTTGAAAATGATGTGTTAAAAGGCTTATCCAGCAACTACCAACAGCTAAACAAATATAACTTCCATATGTGTTTGAAAACGTTTTTTTTCATTTGAAAGCAAGACAAAATAACCTATTGAAAATCAAAGAAACGTAATAACCCTGCTGTGTAAAGGTTAGTTGTGAAGTGTGTGCCAACGGTCACATTGTCACATAAGCCTTCACATTTAGGTCTTTTAACCAAACGCCACTTTCCCCCGTCCTAGGATTGCAGTCATTTGCCCACCACACTATAGTTTCTGCTTTGGCACGTCCCATCCCCGCGGCACTCTGGCTCTCAAGATGCGCCACCTGAAGACCCTCGGATATGACCCTGTCTGGGTGAGACTGAGAGACGATTACAGTTTGTAATGATCGAGTTTAAACTGTTACTTTAAGTGTCAGAATAATATTGATTTCTTCATTTCCTGTAGCCTCTTAAATTAAACCTTCTTTCACCCACAGTTCCTCGTTTGACAATTGCTTGCTAACATTTGATCAGAAAACAAATTATACTACTACCAATTGACGAAGTGAGAGTAACAAAATGTATTTCATCCTCTTCCTGTCCTCCAGGTGACGGAGCAGGAGCTGCGGTCTACGCCAGAGGAAAAGAGGACGGATTTCCTCAGGGATCGGATTTTTCCAGATCACAAGCTGAAGTGGAGAAACTAAACCTAAACACGAACTAGGAGTCACAAACTGTGCAATCATCGTCAACACACAGGTTGTGGTTTGCTATTTTTAGCTTTGTATAGAATGAGGAAGAGAAACAAATAAAGTATTTTTATAAATGTGCTCTGGTTTGGGTGTGTGGTTTCTTTTCTAAGGTGAAAAATCTGCATCTCATTTGGTTTTAATCGTCCGTCTGCAATTTGTTCAAAGCCTAACAGAAACAACATGTGGATCTTGCTGATGCTGGTGGCGGTTGATGAGTAAGCCCATGCTGCTGAATGAAACTCATAAAAAGCCGTGTGCTCGCACAGAAACTGCAAGGTGAGCAGTGTAAAGGTAGTTTCTTTGAAGCACACAGGAAACCGTGCACATTGTTATTGTTTGCCTCTCCTTATAAACTCCGAACTGATGTTTCTGTGTTTCTCAGAAATGAGCGTGGAAAGAGATGTGATTCACACCAAAGTTTGTAGAATGTTTTATTATTTATTTTGAAATTGTGGTCACTCGTGATTCACCACACAGGATTTGTAAATGAGGTCAAATCCCCTCATTCAGACGAATGAATCTGTTTCAACCACAGAGGGTTCCTGCTGCAGATCAGTGCAGCAGGAACAGCGTTCACTGTCTCTTCATTTGAAAAGAAGAGACAGTGAACGCTGCCTAAGATTTGTATTCTTTTCAAAAACTGATATAAAAAGAGCTGCTGCTTTCGCTATGTAGACAAGTACAGAGAAAGAAAATGAACTTAACAAAACCTCGCTCAGGATATTTTTCTGAGCTACTTCACGGACACCTGTGTCTTTATATGTACACTAACAGGGGTAACGTTAACTGAAGTGCCGTGGTCCAGGATTCTGGACCCATTTGTTCTTCCTGCGGTCCCGGGGTGCTTTGGGTTTGGTGTTCATGGAGTCGCTGTGGGACTCTGAGCTCCTCCACTTCACCTGTAAGAGAACACAGCATCATGTGAGTGCAGGTATATAATGCACTACCATACCCACATGGTCATAATGTCATATCATTGAGGACGAAAGGGACATGTCTTCTGGATTTCATGGGTTTTTCTGGGGATTTGGGCACCTGACGTACCTTTCATAATTTCAAAGAAAAACGTTTTTGAATGAATAAGAAACACACATGAGTGCAAAAATATTAAAGCATTTGAATATATTGAACTAGATGTAAAGGAACAAGATCACAAAATGTACTATAAGTAAGCTTTAGTCTCTTCTTTTGTAGACAGTTAAAATATTTTACGAACAATATGTCTCTTTTCTGGTGTGCCTGTAGTTTAATTATCTAGTCTTTTCTCCAGCTCTAAAAAGCTCACAGAGGTTCTGGTTGTATTTTTAAATGCTCCCTTAGTTTCAAAGACATAAAAGTTGAACATTTGACATACACTATAGTCCAAAGGGTCATAAAAGGACAATGGCTGTTGCTCTGTAGTTTAAATACCGGTTTCCCTCCAAACTCATGTAGTGTTATGTGATCTTACCCAGAAGATGCCTGCAATGATAGTGGCAGTTACGCCGTAAATGCTAAGGACTACAAGCCCCAGAATCCAAATCCAGAGAAGTCCATCCATTTGACCTCCACCTGCTTTTGTGTTCAAACTGCATTGGTGTCCTGGAAGAAACATATTCAGGAAGTATTCAGTGACTATATGCACACAATTATAAATATTCCCCTGTTTCCTTCCAACCTTTAAGAGATATTTACCTTCTACTTGTACCAGGATAAACACAGTACTTGGCATTGTCTCAACGGGAGGGGGGTGAAGGACCATGCCCTCACATCTGTAGAGACCGAAGCTGCTGGCATTCACTCCCGTCAGCATGAAATTCACTGATTTATTTTTCTCTGTTTTCATGTAGTTCGACTTCTGCCTTGGTTTCCATGTGGTGTTTCCATCGCGGATAACATGTTGGTTGGAAATCAATTCTTCGTTCTTGAGGAGTTTAAAGGTCTTGCTGGTTCAGCTCCGGGCAAGGCACGGGAGCATTGCCTCCGAAAGGTACGCAGATCATTTTCAGCTCTTCTGCAGAGAAAAATGTTGATAATATACTCTGAAAATACGTGTCTTTCACACCAATGTGAAACCAACACCAAACAGCTTGCAAAGGAAACGTCCTTTCACAGCTAACACTCCTGCAAATATTGATAGGTCAATATAGAAACTGCCGCTGATGTTTCCCCACACAATGACGTGTGTGACATCTACAGCAGAAGGGAGGGATCATTCATCTTGCTTAAGAAGGTGATGTATTTAAAATACCTATTAGGTACAGAGGGTGAATTTCCTACCTGACGTCCTCACTTTCAGCTTCCTTGCGATGATGGCCCTCGCTTCATTCTCCAGCTGAGTTACCACGGTGACAAATTGGTTGCTGTCAATCAAGTTTACGTTGTCCAAAAGTAGTGAGCATCTCAGGTTGACAAAGGAGTCCCCAGACACGATGACCTTTACCTCCCTGTTGGCCCGTGTGTCAATCAGCTGTCCATACTCTCTGTATCTGTCTGAGATTCTCTTCACCTTCTTCTTCATTTCCTCCTCATTTCCTCCTCATCTTCTGTATCACTGTCATCAGACCAACACTCATCCTGAAGTAGAATGACATCAGCTTCTGTAAAGGCCTGTTCCAGATCTGTGTGAATGGTCACCTGTGAATGAATAGATGGCTTTGTTTTCCTTCTGATTAGGTTTAAAAATAGTCTCCAAAAAGAAGCATACTTGATATAGCAGAGGGAGTGCCAGGTTCTCCGTCTCCATCCTAAGCCACTGAAGTTGCTCCTCTTTCCCCTCCAGGTTTAAAAGGTGGAGGCTGATAGCAGAAGTGTTGGGGAACACCTCAGCAGAGAGCAGATTGGGGATCAGGAGGTGGCCGGTTGGGCTGAGAGCGCTGGAAATACCCAATCTGTCAGCTGACAATTAAAAAAAATATCAACATTTGTATTTTATTTTCAAACCAACCCACCTGCTGAGCCATATATGAAGGGGTTTAATAAGACTGACACGATGTTGCTCCTCTACGATTGAGTTCATCTTGGTTTCCAGATTCTCTGATGCAACACTCAGCATGATATCTGTAGGCATATCTGATGTGACGCTGTAATAGTCCTGCACAACAAGGGATGACAACAATAACATGTGGCAGACCTAAACCTATAATCCAAGCCATTTGTTATATTTCTCACAGTTTAAAGAACATATAAGGAAGTCATTCATGGGGACAGAAATGATGCAGCATAACAGGATTTACTTAATATGGCAGCCAGCCAGAAACTGTTGAACATGTTTTACTGATTTGCAGGAAATACAGTACTCAGAGAAATGTGCTTTTCCAGACACTGAAGAAAGCAAAATTCCATGACTTGTCGCTATCAGGGCTGTTAGGGAAAACATCAGGCAATATGTATTGTGAGATTATTACGTTTCTAAGAGAAATTGATACATTTAAAAATAATCTAGAGTTTTGGTTCTTTTCTTTTCTTTTTTTTTTTAGTCTCTATCTCTTGTCCACACTCCAGTCCAGTTGGTGGCGGTAATGCACCACCTCCAAGTTGGTTTGCCAACCACCAATAAACACCAAAGAAGAAGAAGAAGAAGAAGCACGGAGCAGCGCGCGAAAAAGAAAATCCAAAAACTGATTATTAATGATGTCACTATTGAAAATCAAGACCAGATAAATGAAGAAATTAGACTTTTTTATAGCAATTTATATAACTCAAAGTTTTCTAAAGAAAATTGTGATAACTTTTTTAGTAAAATTACAGAATTCAAAAAGACAATAGATTATTCTTTTAAACAGTATATGGACGATGGACTAAAAATTGAAGAATTAGATAGTGCATTACTGCAAATGTCTGGTGGCAAATCACCAAGGCTGGATGGTTTAACCATAGAGTTTTATAAATGTTTTTGGTCAGATGTGCGAGAAATGCTTTATAAGGCGTTCACAGATTGCATTTCAGCAGGAAACCTTTCGCCAACCATGAAACATGGCCTTATTACCTTAATTCCAAAACCAAATAAAAATAATCTTTTGTTGGATAATTGGAGACCTATTACCCTGTTATGTAATGATTACAAACTTTTAGCACATGTTTATGCTAACAGGTTAAACTCGGGTCTGAATCAACTAATAGATGAATGTCAATCAGCCTTTATAAAGGGCAGAAGTATTCATAACCATACCAGACTGATATTGGATATGCTTGATTACCAGGAGTTTATTGATACTGAAGGTCTCGTACTATTTCTGGATTTTTACAAGGCTTTTGATACTGTTGAACATTCCTTTTTAATGGAAACTCTGACATTTCTGGGTTTTGGTGAACATTTCTGCAACATAATTAGGATGCTCTACTCGGACATTTATAGTTCTGTATCTTTGAACCCTGGAATGAGCCCTAGGTTTAAGGTTTTACGTGGTATTCGACAGGGTTGCCCTATTTCCCCCAAATTATTTATTCTGACCACCCAAGTATTAACAACGCTTATTATAAAGAATCACAAAATATTAGGCATTACCCTCTTTGACAAAGAGTTCAAAATTAGTCAATTTGCGGATGACACATCCATTTTCCTAAAGAATAAATCCATGGTAAAGGAAACTCTTAACACAATTTCAATTTTTTCAAAAGCATCAGGGTTATCTCTTAATCTTTCAAAATGTGAATTACTCCCTATCCATTCATGTGATGATTCCACTATTTACTCTATTAGAGTGGTACCTGAGGTGAAATATTTGGGAATAACATTATCTAAAAATTATATCAGGAGAGAAGATCTTAATATTTGTAACCGTATCACAGATATGAAGAAATCTCTCAGTCAGAGATCTTACTATTTTTGGCAGAGTTCTTCTTACTAAAGCAGAAGGTATATCTAAACTTATTTATCCATGCCACTCATGTTTTGTCTCTTCGGCTAATATAAAAAAAGCCAACTCAATTATTTTCCAATTCTTGTGGAGAAATAAAACTCACTACATTAAAAAGTCACAGCTTGTTAAAGAATATGATAAAGGCGGAATTAAAGCTTTAGACTTTGAATCGATGATTGGAACAATTAAAATAAAATGGTTGAAAGCTTTTTTGTCCCAGCCAGAATCCATGTGGTTCCATATTCCAAAGGCCATATTTAAACGTCTAGGAGGGTTTGATTTTCTTTTAAAATGTGATTTTGAGGTTAATAAGATTCCGACCAAATTGTCAAATTTTCATAAGCAGATACTTCATTATTGGAAGATGATATTTACCCACAGTTTTTCTCCTCATGGATCTACTTTATGGAACAATAGAGTGATTATCATAAACAGAAAATCCTTGTTTAGGAGTGATTGGCATGAGAGGGGTATTTTGTTTGTTAGTGATTTACTAGATTGCAATGGTAAACTGCTAGATTTTTTGGCCTTTTCAACGAAATACAATATAACGTGTACTGCTAAAGATTATAACAAAATCTGTAAAGCAATTCCTGTACCACTTATTGGAATGATTCATAATACTTTACTGTACTCAAATGTTGTATCAGTTTTACCTAATTTGGAAATTATTGGCGATACTCTTAAGAATAACAAATCTATTAATGCTTCCCTGAAATCCCACATTTTTCACATTTTTAACAGAGGCTTATTTCCTCAAGTGACCGATTTAGACACTTTATCTGTAATGGAAAAAGCTCTATCTTATTTTATAAAATGGCCTATTTCCCCTAAAGCAAAAGAAACTCATTTTAAAATTGTTCATAAAATCTACCCGGTTTCTACTTTTTTAAATTCAAGATTTAAATTTGAAGAGGTATTATTTATGTTTTTTTTGTCTTATTGTGAATGAATGTCTTGAACTTATGTTGATAAGTTGATGATATCCTCACCGAGCTTTTGTATGTTTAAAAAAATGTTCAATAAAACATTTTTAATAAAAAAAATAAAATAAAAAAAAAAGAACGCGCGGTGCTGTTTCGTGCTTCTTCTTCTTCTTCTTCTTCTTGAAATTGACGTGCTTGATGTGAACGAGCATTTTGGGCATGGATGGGTAAAGTTGCGCATGCGCTATGAGCGCACATACGGGTACTTCTCAGGCATAACGGGTAATCTGTGACGTTTCGCTCTCTGAAAAGTTGGGCCATTTTATCATCATGCGCCAATGAGCAACTCTCATAGGAATGAATGAGGCCCCGCCTCCCACGCTGTATCCAGTTCTTATTATACATCCATGGTTTACTCTGGTGCTGCTGCTACAGTTGTGCACGCACGCAGGTGATGCCAACATCCGCTCAGAGAGAGAAAGACAGACAGAGAGAGATAATTTAGTGATTTCCACATTTATTTTTTCCCGTTTTGCATCATCAGTGTGTGTTCGCAGTGTGCATTGACCGTAATGTGCAGACTAGGCGGGGCTGGCTGACCCTCCTCTCTTATTTCGGACAAGTAGGAATAACACTGCTGCTGCTGTTTTCTGACATTAGAGACTATTTCCAGGCATGAATTCAGCCGAGCAGACGGTGACCTGGCTCATAACGCTGGGGGTCCTGGACTCTCCCAAGAAAAGCATCTCTGATCCGGAGGGTTTCCTGCAGACCTCCCTGCAGGATGGAGCGGTGCTGTGCAGGCTGCTGGAGAGACTGCGACCCGGGACGGTGGACAAAGTGAGTACATGCATTGAATAGACTGGGAAAAAACACATTATCCAGAAGCATGCATGTGGGTAGCACACGTAGAAATAATGAAAACAACATAAATGACTTAGAAATGTCAGCCTATATCTACAATATCTGTTTTTATTACTGCACATATTGTATTCCATTCTATTTCAATGTAAATACTGCTTTATTTTATTTTATTTTACTATATTTTTTCATGTTATTATAGTGTTCTTAAAATAGCTCTCTTTC